CTTTTTTTTTTCTAGAATTACTTCACATTGTAACATGAAACTACATCTATTTATACTTACGAATTTATGCCATAGTGATTGATATAACATAAACAAAAAGTAGTTTAATTAATTTTTGAATGTAAGTCACTAAATATCTCATGACAGGTGCAGTAAAGGATGCCCATGCAGATAAGGTTAATAAAAATATATAAAGTAATACTTCTAGGATGAGAGAAATAGTAGCCACGGAAAAGTACAATGAACAAAAAGTCTTATTGACTTTAAAATGTGTACATAGCTACTTGGTCCAGTATATCAAGAAATTTCGACAACAAATAGCAGAAAAGGTATATGCTAAGTAAAATGTGTGAAGGACAGCATTTTCCCAAATTTAATGAGAGAGAGAGAACTTGAATGAAAGAGTTCAAATTATTCACTTACAGTGAAGAGAATTGCTTGTTCCAATTGATTGAATCACTAATCCATTTTGTTTCTTGTCGTTTTATGAAATTGATTTTTATATTTAATCTTATTATACTCCATATTTTCAATAAAATACTCTACTAAAGTAATGAAAATAAATTTAAAAACCATTTTTATAAAATAATTTTAACCACTCATCATCATCATCACAGTTGATTTTTATGCAAATATGGTATCAGATGATCAGTTTTGTAATATGAAATGATGAAAATTATTGATCATTCAGTTTTTGCTACATTGATATATTTATATGTAGGGTTACCTATAAGTAAATAGACACCCACTCCAGAACTATTACATAAATATAAAGTAGAGGTTTCAAGATTACCTTGAATATTTGGTGGATTTGCCCTTTGAGTATTTAAGACAAAAATAGTTTCACATGGTATTTACACAATTTGAAATGTGGACCTGTGGGATTGGATCCCACTCTTGATGAAGAATGTAGATGAGGATATCCCTAGTACATTCATTACTTTTGTAGGGAATAGTCAAGGATTGGCAACGAATGCTCAGTAGGATTATTATCAAGTGATTGACCTGTCCATAGGACAGTGGTAGTCTCTTGACCTTCAAGCCATTGTTTTGTTACTTAAGCTGAATATCAGGAGTCCCATCTTGCATGAAAACACTGCCTTATTTGGTAATCTGGTCATTGGCATAGAGGTATAAGGCTGTGATTAATAATTGTGATGTATTGAGAAGCATTTATGATCCCATTGCATGTCACCAGCTGCCCAAGTGACAGCTCACGCCTTCATGTAAACATTTTGGTATTTTGTTGTGACTTGTAGACTGTTCAGTAAGAGTTCCTAGGAGGATAAGCACCAGATTTCTTGGAAAAAATAACAGTTCTCAAAAGGCAGGAATACATGATAGCATACTTGATGTCCACTGCTGTTTACAGACATTATTGTTTAGAGTGAGCAGTGCCTTTCCTTCTAGCTTCTATGCCATTGTAACCCATCTTATGACAATAAATTCTGATGATATTGGGACACACTTTCACCTGTCTTGTAGCTCTGTAATGTGGGTCATTTTCCATACTCTTACCTGCTCACTATGTATAGAAGTATTTCAAGTAACCTGGTTATTTTTTTTTGCTGAATTTGACTGCCCTCATATTGACCAACTATGCAACCTTGTGATGATACTGGTAATTCCTGAGGTTCTTGTATTTATGTCATGACTGCTTGTATTCTGTGGTATTTATAGAGCTGTACCCATATTTAAACATCTAGTTATTTACATATGTCATTATTAAGATTATCCATTCCCTTTATTAGTTTTGTCTGTTTACTTTTTGATATCACACAACCCTTTTTTCTCATTTCTGACTCTAAAGTGAATTGAGAGTTTAAATTTTCTAAGTTGTCGAATAACCATAGTTATGAAATGTTTTTCATGAATGACAGTTACCACTGTAGCTAGAAAATTAGTACTGGTATACACACTAGACAAGTTTAAATTTGTTAGTTTAGTTTAGGTAATTCTTCATTCATTTTAGATTTTACTGTTCAACAAATGGTTTAATTTAGGTCTCACAGACTTTCATCTGGTATACACATAACTTTTGCATAGTTATGAAATGAGCAAATGTAAAGAAAAGCAAACTTATATTTATTTTAGGCAGAATATTGAAATTGATTAAGATTTTTTTATATCCTGATTTAGTTGATTCAACAAGTCATTAGTAGTATATCATTTATTTGTATAAATCCTTTACTTAATTCTTTACAAGAAGTTTGTAAGAAAATATTAGTATGGTAGAAATAACTTTAAATATATATACTCTGCATTTTATTCTGTGAAAACAAGCCTTTTAGCATGCATCGTTCAGCTGTCTTCAGGTTCAAAGTAAAATAGATTTAAATTATAACTACTTGATTATATACTAGTAGGCTATCCTCTTTCTCCAGTTAGCTGTGCATCAGCCTCTGTGGAGATGAAGAACAAGCTTTTACAACAGCAACTTTAAAATAACAGATTTATATGCTTTTCAGAATAATACCATTCCAGAAGGGGCTTGTTTAACTAATGAACTAGAAGTGTTCCATTGTGATCTTAAAAGCAGACTTCTGTAAATTCAGTTCATAAAGGAAGGAGAAGCAATTATAAAACATTGTTTCTCTTGAAGTTTTCTTTACAAAACAAAGGGTTTTAAAATTTTAAAAAAGGTAACATATAAACATGGGCATAATATGAAGCCTTATCAATGAAGGCTAAAGTTGACATCAAAGGATTTATGATAAAAAGTGTTATACAACATTGAGAATATTTTTACCAATGTTTTCTCAAGGCTTTCTAGAAAAAAGCCATTCAGACCTAAAGATAATGAGATGTGCTGGGAAAAATTAATGTTAAATGGCCAACCTTAAACATTGACAAAATGTGTTTCATTATTGCACATACTTGCAACAAGTGACTTTGGCAAAATGTTACTACAAAATATAATTTAGGTCAAAACTTAAAGGAAGGTATTATTACAGTAGCAAAATTCAAACCATTGTGCCACACAAAAATAAGAAATAATATATTTTTTAGCTTATTAATGTGTCAAAAGAGCTATATTACATGGTGCAGAGAGGAATAAAACATCATCATATCATATAATTAGGGAATTTTGACAAATCCACTGTTTTTCTCTAATGCTTGTGAATACTGTGATAAAATGTTATGTATTAAATGATACAAAACTTATTTGAGTTTAACAAATTCTTTAGCTTTGTTTTAATACTATTTTCAAGTAGTGTTTAACAAAATATGTTAGTTGTGTTCCTGTGTCATTCTTCACATTTGTTTTTGCCATAAGCATCTTTAAAATATTTGTTTGAGACTGAAGATATCTCCATCAGCCAGTTGAGAGCATATTATTATAAAAATTTAAACATAAATTATTCTCTTTTAACTTGGTACTATGTGATTGCCTTCCAATGTTATGTTGCTGAAATAAAAAGTTTTGAAACAGTTATGGAAAGTGACTAAAAAGTTATAAAAGGCAAATACTTTGGGAATTCAACCCCATATATTGTATAAAAATGAACTGCATCAGAGTACAGTAGTAGTGTGATTCAAGTCATGGCTTCCAGAACTGAAATATTTCATGAAGAGCATGTAGAAATCAAAGTTTGACTGTTTAAAGATAGTGCGTGGAAAGAATTGTGGAAATACACTGTTTATTATATATTTTTCCTTTAGAGCCGTATGCAAGACTGAAGTGGTAGGTTAAACGGACACTGTTAGTAACAGAGATAGAAAACCAAAACTCTAAAAGTGATTTTAAGTATTTATGAGGTAGATCTTGCCAATGACCTTATTGTAAATACTGTGGGAATGCTACCTTGAAAATAGTAAGATGCACATTGGTGCAAATGGACTCAATGGGTGTGTATCTGCTCAAAAACCATTGCTGAGATGAGGTATAGGCATCCAGACTAAAAGGTATAAATGGGAGGTATAGGATCCAAAACAGTGGATGAAGCAAAACTGAAAATATATTTTCTTTTCTGATGAATCCAAGTTTAACTTGTTCAACAGCAATCAGTGTGAGTTGTTATATGGCAGAGATAGGAGAGTGGTATCATAGTCAATCTACAGTGAACCATGATTGGAGATCCATACAAATTTGGGGCTGTATCTAAGCTAGTTGTGTTGATAATTTACACAAAATTGATGAAAAATCAACAAAACAACTTGGCTCACCTATGGAAAGTAATATGGGACACTTGGAATAATATTCCACAATCATAAATTTATAAACTGTATATTTGTATGAAAACAAGGTCTCATGCTTTGTGTAAAGCAAAGTGCCTTCTTACAAAATACTATTACTCTGTCACTTTTCGTATATTATGTTTCATAATATATAGCACCATTAATAACTGCATGATTTAGTTGCCATTACTAATTGATTTTTGACTCCTGTATATGTATCTGTACTAATAGTGTTAAGACACTGGATAATTTTATGAATGCTTTAATGTTTTTTTATATCAGTATTATATGTTTCATCTATATTTGAACATATACCATCTTCCTGAGTACTTACAACATATCACAGTGAAATACGTGTGCTTTAGTTTAAAAGTTCATGTCATTGATAAATATCATTGAAATAATATATGAAAGCAATTTTACTCTGCTGTTTTTTATGATTGATCAGTAATTATATTAAAAAACTATGACACTGACAATGATTACGGACAAATGGTTGTGAATCAAGATGTGTACTGTGGTTGAATTGATTTTCTTAGAATGGCTTTCATAAGTATTATCTGTTGTTGGTTTTTCATTGTTTCCTGAAATGGTGAGCATATTCTGTTTAATGTTATTGTACTTAATATACTTAGTATTTCTTAAGTAATGACTGTTGGTTGCAGGAACAGTCAATGGGTAAGAATCCAATTTATAAATTTGAAGGAATATCACTAGGTATACTTGGGGATCTGTTTTTATTTAAATATTTTTTGTGAAAATGGTATATTTGTATTATTTTTAATGTTTAAAATATTTCATGCTCAGTCAATGCTTTACAGGGTTATTGTATGTTCTTGAAAGTCTGAAACCAAGGACTACATATCTCTTTCGGTTTGCTGCTAAAAATGCAGTTGGTGTGAGAGCCTGGAGTAATTGGTTATCTAAAACAATGCCTGAAGAGTCAGCACCAGAAAACCCTACTTTTATTCAGCCAGGTGGAAACATTAGCACATATCCTAACCATTTTGAAATCCGCTGGGTTATACCTGCAGACAACGGAAGACCAATATTGGTTTTTGAACTAAAATACTCTAAGGTAGGACACTTATGAACTCTTAGCATTATTACAGATATTACAGAATTTATGATTCATGCATCTTTTCATAAAACTGCTTTTTTACAATTTTAAATGTTTTTGTTATGTTCATGAAATATTAAAGTCACACTAAAAAGTGTAATATAGTACTTTTGTGTGTTATTCACTCAATATTACACAGAACTTTTATTAATAAATTAGGTATATGATCTGAACACTTGCTGAAAGTTTGAAATATTATTTTCTGATATGACTGGCTTTGTAGTTATGTATGTTGTTTGAGAACTAAGAATGTACTACCTTTCAGTCTTCCAATCAACATTAAGTTCAAATTGTTGATTTTTCTTTTTATGATTAAAGTATTAATTTTCATGATATATTAATACTGCTGATGCAAAATGAAATCCAACTCGTTCAACTGACATCACTCAATGGGTTTGTTACTTAACGACAGTTTATGGTGAGATATAAATGATTGTAAGGAATGTTTTTACTAGCTCCAAGTAATGAGTTAGTTTTGAAAGGTTGTATGGATTGATTAATTTGTGACTTTTGTTCAGTATAAATAAAAATTACAGTAAATTCATTTGAAATATGCAACATCTTTTGTTTGCAACATAACCTACTTTAACAATATGACATAATTTACCCAAGAAATTTTACTGAACAGAGTCACAGTGTAAGTCATATGCTGTAAGTGCATAATTAAAGATCACCATTTAATATCCTGTGTTAAAGGTATCCGTGATGAAATATAATAATAATGTTAATCTAACACTTTTATTTACTTAGCTTTCAAATCATATATTTGTTTTAACTCTTCCAATACGGGGTCGGTCAATTGGACTGAGTCACGTGACCTTCTGTACTCATATAAAGTTGACATAAATTTAATACTTATAACTCTCTTTATTTCTTCACGAAATTTGACAGTCTTTCAGTTAATATTACAAGTCTTTCACATACAAAAAGTCATATTTCTTAGTAAAGTACTTTTAATAAAATAAAGCTTTGTCCATAAATATATTTAGTATTTGTTTGAATAGTCCGTTTGCAAAGTAATTTTTGTGTTAAAATTAAAAATACTTTTCGTCATCTCAAAAATCTCAAATTTCTATTGT